GTATAATCCAAGAGCCATAATTAATTCTTTATCTCAATAGCATATAGCATCGTCCTTTTCTGCAAACGTTTCTTTAATTTTAATATTTGTCTAGCAGGCCTAGCAAATTAGTGAACCATGACTTCATTCACTAGAAGCACTCAAATTGAAGAATTAACTATTCCAAAAAAAAAAAAGCAAACAAACGACTATAAATTAATTAGAAAATGCCAGAATATATACATATATATATATGTGATTCTGGCATTTTCTAATTAATTTATATATATATATATATATATATATATATATATATATATATATATATATATATATATATATATATATATATGATCAACTGGAAGCGTCATAGCCTAGGTTTGGACCACCCCAAAGCATTTTATGTGCGTGCAGTAGTAGTTTTTTAAATTTCTAGGTAGGTTTTTTTTGAAAAAATCCATCATCAATTATAAGAATACTACAAACAATAATATTCTTTTTATAAATATTCATATATAAAAATTATTATTAAATAGAAAATTATTTCTCAAAGTTGACCAAATAAAGCTTAAGAATGAATATTCTATTCAAACATTTAATAGCTTATTAATTAATTTATGCAGGTCACATCTTACATTAACTTCTTTTTCAAATTGGGAGTTATCATGTTACTACCCATGTGAATGCATCTCATAAACAAGTGGAAATCAGCTAAATAGCATTTGATTTGATATAAAAGCAGTAGATGCTGCTATGATAATGAAACATAATGAAACATGAATTCACATTGCTTGACCTAACCTTATAAAAGTATCAAAGAAATTAAGAAACACGAAGAGACCAACAAAACATATATTACAGAGAATTAAGGGTTTTTTGCTGCAGCAATGGAGGCCTCCGCATATGGACAGGTTTCACCAGTAGCTCCTTCATGGCTAAACAAAGGAGACAACGCATGGCAAATGATAGCATCTATTCTGGTAGCCACCCAGAGCATGCCAGGGCTTGTCATACTCTATGCCAGCATAGTCAAGAAGAAATGGGCTGTAAACTCTGCCTTCATGGCCCTCTACGCCTTCGCTGCTGTCCTCCTTTGCTGGGTGCTTTTATGCTACCGAATGGCCTTCGGCGATGAACTCCTCCCCTTCTGGGGCAAGGGTGCTCCAGCTTTAGGCCAAAAGTATCTAATTGCCCAAGCCAGGATCCCTGAAAGTACGCATACACATGAAGATGGGACAAGGGAAACTGTTGAGCCTTTTTATCCAATGGCCACACTTGTGTACTTCCAATTTACTTTTGCTGCTATTACCCTCATTTTGCTTGCTGGTTCTGTTCTCGGCCGCATGAATATTAAAGCTTGGATGGCTTTTGTCCCTCTATGGCTCATATTCTCCTACACTGTTGGTGCCTTTAGTCTATGGGGCGGTGGATTTCTTTATCATTGGGGTGTCATTGATTACTCCGGCGGCTATGTTATTCACCTCTCCTCTGGAATTGCAGGGTTGACAGCAGCTTATTGGGTATTTTAAATCATTCCCTTTACTAAATAAAAAACAAATTGGAGTTTTTTAGACTCTATATTTCACTCTTGCAGCCATGATGCTAACCTGTTGAAAGTGACACAGGTCGGACCGAGGCTAAAAAGTGACAGGGAGAGATTTCCTCCCAACAATGTGTTGCTGATGCTTGCGGGTGCTGGCCTATTGTGGATGGGCTGGTCAGGATTCAATGGCGGTGCACCCTATGCAGCAAATATCGATGCTTCGATGGCGATGTTGAACACTAATGTATGTGCAGCAACAAGTCTGCTTGTATGGACATCTCTGGATGCTGTATGCTTTGGAAAGCCATCGGTGATAGGAGCTGTCCAGGGCATGATGACAGGACTAGTTTGCATCACTCCAGGAGCAGGTTGGTGCTTTTTTTGGGTCTGTATCACAGCGATGTTAGCATTACTTTACTTATTAAATCTATGAATGGTGTTAATGCAGGACTGGTTCAATCTTGGGCGGCTATAGTGATGGGAATACTTTCTGGTAGCATTCCATGGGTGTCTATGATGATACTGCACAAGAAATTTGCCCTGCTTCAAAAGGTATTATCACTTTCCAATGTTGTTGCTTCTCCTAGAAATGCACGAGTCTAACAAAATTCTAATCTATTCTTATATCTTTTCCCACCTCCAATCTAACAAGAATCTTGGCGTTTTGCCCTAACTAGGATGAGACTTAAGGAAAGAGGGGAAAATTGCAGGTAAGATATGCTAGGTAGTTCCCCAAAAGAACTAAAGAGTATACTATCAAGCCATCCAACTTTTTCATGATTTTTTCCTCAATGGATTAACAAACTTGAATGGAGATGATAATTCTTCAACTCTTAAATGGGTGGATGATGACTTCATGACCAATTCCTCATCTTGGGCCAAAATATTCTCTTAGAACTTGTTACCATGTCTTCATTTAATACTTCTTCTATCCTTGTTCTTTGCCAATATAATCCCATTTATCATTCTTATGATTTCACCATCAAAACATATCTGTAAACCTTGAAATTAAGTGATGAATGACTATAACAACACTGTGCCATCCTTCCAAGTATTCGCTTGATTTCCCATCCACCTATTTTGGATCTTATTATTCATCCTGAAGAATCTGCCGTGTCAGGCAGAGTCCTCCAACATAATGAAAAGCATTAATTACAGTCAAAGATGAGAACATAGCTTTGAATAGAACTATAATTGAAAAACAAGCAGACAACGTTATCAGAGTCCTGTTTTTTATGTTTGATTGCCAAGGTAACAAGGATAATCATGGACTATTTACCAATAAGTATATAACAAAGTCCAATAAACTTTTTTCAATTGTGTGGTAAATTTTACAGGTGGATGATACACTAGGTGTCTTTCACACCCATGCAGTAGCTGGGCTCTTGGGTGGACTTCTAACTGGGCTTTTAGCAGAGCCAGAACTCTGTGACCTTATACTGCAAGTGAATACAAGAGGTGCATTTTATGGTGGAAATGGCGGGTTGCAACTCTTGAAGCAAATGGTTGCAGCCCTTTTTGTTATAGGTTGGAACATAGTGTCAACAACGCTAATCCTTCTGTTTATAAGGTTGTTTATACCATTGAGAATGCCGGAGGAGCAACTTGCAATCGGAGATGATGCAGTTCATGGAGAGGAAGCTTATGCATTATGGGGTGATGGAGAAAAATATGATCCGTCTAAGCACGGTAGGATTACCTCCTTGTTTGGAGAGGAAACACCAAAGTCTCCGCATGTCAGTGGCGCAAGAGGTGTAACCATAAATTTGTAAGCTAGATACCTGCATACACCAGCATGCTTAGAGCATTTGATTTCTTTGTGTATATTAGTCCATGGTCTGATTTGTAAGTAGAATTTTGATGTTTCTAGATTGTGTTGCCTATTTTTAGAGTTGTATAACAGCTTAATTAATGTGAGTAAGAGGACATCAACAGATGAATGGGGATGATTTCCAGAGAGAAAATTATTTTTCTCGGTTATTATTATTTAGTTTATGATATTAATAATTTTATTTTTTTTCTGTAGTTTTTTTAATATTTTAATTGATTTTACTTTATTTTTAGACTTTTTGATTTATTTAGATTGGCTTTTTAGATTATTTAAAAAGTTATAAACCTTTTAGAAAAATGGACTCATCTGAGTTATTTATTCAATAATAAAAATACAAATTAGAGTTTTATATCATAATACTATTTAGTTTTAATTTTGTTTTTCTAACTCTTTTTTTTTTTGTATTTTCATCTATATTAATTGGTACAATAATCTAATGATCCCTTTCATTATTTGTTTATTAATTATTGCTAAGTAACCATGGTTAGAAGAGGTCATGGAATAAGATTTTTTTGTGTGGGAGGGGATGAATAGGTTCCTCCACGGAAGAGATGTCCATGAAGTAATATGATATTTTTTTTAGTTAATTTTATATTTTTTTATTTTTGTTTTTGTATTTTGTATTATAAAGTTTTTCTAGTTTTTTTTTTATTTAAGGAAAATAGTTTTTCTTCAAACCCTTGGGAAAAATTTACAAAATTAATGAGGAAAAATTTTACTAAAAAAGTGAAATGAATATTTAACTTGGGAGGTAATGATGGATGGGAGAAATTAAAATATATGTGTTTAGAAATAAGAAAATAATTTGGAGAAATGATAAGAGAAATGAGGAATAAAAATTAAAAAGAGAACTACATGAAAAAATATTGGTGCAAACTACAATTAAAAATTAATAATATTACCATAAAATGATAATAAGTTTGTAGATAAAATAAATGATGAAAAATAAAAATAAAATGGTCTCATTGACACCACCAATTATAAAAATAAGTTAATAGGCTATACATCACCAATTATAAAAACAAGTTAATAGATTAAGTTCAAAGGTTCGAATTAAAAAGGATTAAATTTATCACTTTTAACTACTAATTTATCTGGATAAAAAAAAACGACATGTTAGAAGTTCGGCTTAGAATTAGATTTGAGTTGTAATTTTAATATTGTTTAATTTAACAATATCAAATATAATTCTTGATATAGAATTAGAATGAATTTTTATGTAGAGCTTCTTAATATATTGTCATACCTCATGTTAGAATTTTAAGGAAATTAGGGCTTGGAAGGCCTTGTAAAAATGTCGAAAGTTAGATTGAAATACAGAAAAATAAAACATGTGCAAAGTAAAAGGGTGAAAAAGACTTTAGCCAAAAACCCATCTCACCATCCTCTTTATATTTTGGCATGGGCTCTTGGAAAAGAGGAAAAGAAAAGAAAAAAAAGAAGAAGCTAAGTTAAACACTAAAATCTTTGAAAGGGAGTATGTAATTGGATCCTATACAAAATTATGATTTAATGCAAAATCTAGATTGGTTACAATTTCATTTTATCACTATGTAAGGAGTTCTAGACTTGATTATACAAGCTTAAATGAATAATGGAATTGATGCTTGATTTCATGAATTTGAGCCCGGATTATCGAATGAAAAATTGGAAAAAAGTGAGATTATTTTTTTTTTAACATTAATACATCTAAATCATGAAAAATATTAAAAATAATATTAATTTAATACCTTTTCAAGACAACCATGTTTTTAAGTTCTAGAGCCCCCGTCATCGTTGACTCCACATGTCTTCGTTTACTTGGCCTTGATATGAGATTCTTCCACAATGTTAAAGATTCTGTTCATGACCAATGTAAGCATCCTATTGTACAACAGCATGGGAGTTTTCCATGATTGGGCGAGCACCATTCTTCTACCAGTTTCCGGCCCATCTAAACATATGTATTCCCTGACTTGGTGGTGCAAATGAACTTTGTTGATCTCTCACCGGATGGACCAAGACGGCAGGAATACAGGAAGTGTTCCCATCAAATAATCTCTTAATGGGTCTGGCTGGGGGTGGTATTTTTTGGAGGAAATTCGTTTACCGCCGGATTCCTCCCTTGCAGTTCTCATCAAACATCTGTGCAGCCACCAGTATCCTTGTCTGGACCTGCTGGGATGTCCTCTTTTTCAAAAATCCGTCTGTGATTGGAGCCAATCAAGGAATGATAACAGGGTTGGTGCGCAATAACTCCAGCTGCAGGGGAGGACCCTTTCGATTAAAAACCTAAATTGATCAAACCTTCATCTATACTAGCACACTCTTCATTGCCAATTTCCTTCCACAGGTCTTGTTCAGGGCTGGGCAGCACTAGCAATGGGTATAACACATCTGGAACCATACCCTAGTACACCATGATGCGTCTGAGCAAGAAGCTGCCACTGCTGCAGAAAGTTGTTGATACCCTTGGTGAAGAAACCTATGCTCTAGTTGGACAAAGACGGGAGAATCTACAAATAATAGTGGGAACCTTGATGGTGTTGAGCTCCAGCGTCCCTGGGTGTAATTTGAGAAAGGAATCAGTATGCAAAATATCAGTTGTCACGGAAAAACATTAAACCATGAAATAGAAATTCGAGTTTGTAAGAATCTTCAAAAATTGATGCATCTTCAAGCAACTGTAAGTCCTTTAAGTTCTAAAGTTTCTAAGCCGAGAAACAAACAAAACAAAAAAAATAGCAAAATCAAGGATACAATGTTTACTAAATGTTAAATATTATATATCACACATTTCTGGAGACTTGAATAATGAAGGAGGTTGTTGTAAACTACTCAAGCCTTTCCCAATCCTGAGTAATTCTTGTTGAGGATGGGATTGAGGGTGGGGGACTTGAGCTTCCCGATCCAGAGTCGAAGGTCTCCCACTCAGTTGTAACTGACGCATTTCCACTATTGCCCAATGGCTTGGGATTTCTTGCCTTCAGGTTGTCTAATATCTCATGGAAATTCTGGACACGACAAACCTGTTGAAAGGAGCCATTAGTTGATGCAACAGCATTTAGGACAAATGCAAACCTCAATTGTAAATCTAAAAAGCCAGTTAATGAGAATGATACACACACACACTAACGCATAAAGGTTAGATCACTGTGTTTCATGGCCTTAAAGGAGGAAGGGGCCAGGACATGCAAAATAATTTATAAAAGAGAACGCATGCGGTCCAAAGAAGTAGAGAACAAGCATGCATTCATACATTACAAGGCCTACTGTAATTATGACATTACTCACATCAGAGAATGTGGTAAATCAGAAAAATCAAGAAAGTTTCAAGAGACTTTTGGAAGAGAAGCTGTCGTTAAGTAGAAGATGATTATACACCTTTAAACAAATAACCCCTCAACCAGACAAAAACAGAGAAAAAACTAGAGTGAGGGATTTTTTAGTAAGAACGAGGTTGTTTTAGGCCCAGAAACAGTTCTATACATGCTTCCATCCCACAAATCCCTGCACCACAAGGTCCTTTATGTAGTCATTACGAAGACTTAGAAGCCCTATTTACTTTACCAGAGCAAGAGTTCAACATTATTGTCTCTAGCACGCTAATCCATAGCCAGCACTACTTTCCTCCGTTATTCATCAGCTTTGGTGGCATGGGCAACTTAACACTTTAAAATCACCAATGCTCTTGAAAAAGTAACCCAGCATGCAAAACATATGGATTTACAACTCAAATGACAGGGAGCATTTTAATGTAACACAAGGATCGCAAACCCATAATCTTGATAGTGATTAGCAATTCAACATGTAAACAGAAAAGAAAAGAGAAAAGAAAAGAAAGAATAGGTTAGACCCTCCACCCCAACCCCCCAACCCAACAACTGCCCTGTTGTTTTTCTAACACAGTCTCTGTTTTTACTACTACTTTTTTATGTTCTCTGCCTCTCTCTATCTATACACCACCTCTACTTCTACTCTTTGTTTCTTCAAATCGAATAATGACAAACAGAGAAAAGAATTTATCTGGGTTCATGGTTTTCTCTAAGCATTAAGCTATATATAATTCAATTTTACTGAGCTATTAGAAACTAATTCGGCACTACTTTGTTTCTCTTTCTAGCAAGCATGATTTTTTAACAAATCATTATTTAATTGGAGTTTTGAGAATCTTGCACTAGTCTTTAATTCTGAATTCTTTGGAATCATTATGTTTACTACTGATTGCTTTAACCAATCTTCGTTTTCTTTACTAATTTTAATGTTCACAGTACAATATATATTGATCACATACAACAGTCATGACAAAATCAAGCATCTTATTATTAAAATAAAGTAACTGGTTGGGAAAGAAAACTCAATCTATATGAGACCTATTTATTCCAACTCCTACATTTTCATCATAACTTGCGCAAATTTTGAAGTTAATTTCGCATCTACATTTTGTTTATGACCATTTCATGCACATCTATCCTCACGTACAATCACAGAATTCTACAATTGGAGTTTACAAACTGAGATTATAGACCTTCAGGCGACACATAAAAATGAGTTTCTAAGAACATTGAATCTCAAGTTTATATAGAAAATCTTCCATCTTCAATATAGCATGCACATGCTACACTCAGGAGCACTCATTAGTTAAAACTCAAACAAAGCACAATTCATCTATTCGACAATGCGACAAGCAGATATAGAGAAAATCAAGTTCAACAACACAAACACGAACCTCAGCCTTTCGCTGCACCCGTGCTTCCCCTTCCGCCTCAATAGCATCCAATTTCAGCAACTGCCTCATGAGCAACTCCGAAAAAACACCAAATTCATCCTCCGAAACCCTAGTCCCGCCACTCACAGCCACTTCCAAAGCACCCACCTAAGAATCCAAAACACACAAAAATCACCACAACAATTAACAATAACAATAAAAAATCACAACACATACACAACTAACAATAACTCACTCTTTCCGCAAGCTTATCAATCTCCTTCCTCGTTTCGTCAATAGCTCGAAAGGCCTTCGGCATCTCCTTATCGTTTCCCTTCACCTCCTCCACATTTTCCTGCATTGTCGCCGTTGATGTGTCCTCGCCTTCCTTCATCTCCTTCCTCACCACGTCCTCCAAAACCAAAATCTTGGAGTTATCCCTCACGCCAGCCTCCTGCAAATTCTCTCCGTCCTCCTTTTCGTTTCCTCTGAACAAAATCCTCTGCTTTTCCGATTCCAAACCGGTCTGCTCTTCGATTACCTTTTTAACATGCCCTAATTAAAAGGAATTTTATTTAATTATCACTCCAAAATCTTCTAAATTAAAGCATTTTAATGGAGAAAATAAATATTAATAAAAATAAAAATGGAGAAAAATAGAAGAAATTACCGAAAGTGGAATGAGCAGGGACATGGAGTTCGAGGTGGGAGGGACCGTGAGAGACGTTGATTTTGATCAAGTTATGATTAAACTGTCTCCCTCCATGATTAATTTCTTCATTTTTTGAACTCATTGAATTAATTATAAAAAATTAATTAAGCAGGAAAGGACGGAGGCCTCTTTTTTTTTTCTCAGTTCTGGGGGAAGAGAAACGGTTGGTCGGTTTCCATGGATGGAGACTCCGTCCGAAGAGATTTTTTTATATATAAATAAATAAATATTTTTGCATTCGAGATATATATTTAGTACATATACTTTTGATTTTTTGCAGATAAGTACCTTCTGTTCCTTATTTTAATACCCAAAATATTCTAATACTAGCTATTTAACGCATGCTCTGACACGAATTGTAACGTTCTTTTCAAAAAATATATTGAATATACAGGCTATTCTTTTGTGTTTTTAATATGAAAACAATATATATAAAAAAAAAATTGTGCAAATATGTAATTGAATATATTGATAATTATCTCTATAAATAAACAAAAAAAATAGTTAATAAAAATTAAAATAAAAATTAAAAAATAAATATAAATCAAGAAATTTAATCACAACAAAATGAGAAATTTATTTGATTGTATGTACTGAACTTATTTATTTAAATTAATAAAAAATAATAAAAATAAAAATAATTATGCAAGGCCGAAGATATTGGGGATATTATTTAAAAATAATTATTTTTTATTTTGAAAAATAATGTTCATTTGTATAAAACAAGAAAAATATTTAAATGAATTAGAATAATATCTTCAAAAATCAAATACAAAAAAATAATTTAAAAAAATATATATTAAAAAATTACTAAAAAAAAATATGTAACTTAGATCATAAGAACAAGATAAATTTATAGAAAAGAAATTGAAAATAATCAAAAAATCAATATTTAAAAAAAAAACTTTTTAAATTCATGATATAGGTTATTAGATTGGAAGCACTACAAATAAAAAAAATATAAAGTTCAATCCCAACAAATCAAATATCTAAAAATAAAATAAAATAAATCAATTATACAAAATGATCTAAAAAATTATAATGAAAAGAATGAGGATGAGAACCAAATAAAATATAAATTAGAGGACAAACATAAATTTTTAGTTGAAGGGTTAAATTGAAACAAAAAATAACCTAGGGTTAAATTGAAACAAAAAATAACCTTGACAAAAGGATAAACAAATAAAAAGAAAGATTCTCAAATTAAAAAAAAATAAAATAATATAATTTTTGATTGAATGATAAAATTTAAAATCAGTAAAACTTTAATTAAAAGGTTAAAGAAAAACTAAAATGACAAAAATAACATACGAGAAATTATAATTGAATGATTAAATTAAAAATAAACATAACTTTTATAAAATGAATAAAAATAAAAATTAAAAATTAAAAAAACAAGGATTCAAATTGAAATACTAAAAACGGAAAGGACAAATGTGTAAATTTCCTAGTATTAGAGAGAAAAAAAGATAAAAAACAATTCCTCGTAATAAATTGTACATTATTTATTGTCATATACCATATCAGAAAAAAATATATATATATCAGCTCATTCAAAGATATAATAAAAAATCAAATTTAGTTATTAAATAATATCTCAAGCACTGCTCGAATGATACAAATATCACTCATATCCTAATGTAGTACAAGCATGTATCAGCAGACTTTCAAGAAAAAGAAATCAAAACACCCCTCATTACATGAAAAATTACAAATAAACTCATACAAAATAATAAAAAAAAACCCTAAATTGCATATCTTATTTTTTATCTTTTTAAGGGCAAAGTCATATTTTAATTGTAGTCTTAAAAGGAAAAAACCAAAAAAAACACTGGTCAACTGCTCTATCTTTTATCTTTTTTTTTTTTTTTTCGGAAAAGAAATTTTTTTTTTTTTTATTTTTTTAATTTTTTTTAAAAAAAAATTATTAGTCAATAATTTTAAATTTTATTATATTGGAGAGTAAAATCATATTTTTACTATGCAAAAAATTTGAAAACAAAATAAAAAAAGCCCAAATAATTTTTTAATAACTAACCTATCTCTGGAAAAAAAAACCAAACTACCTTTATCAAAAATACTTAAATAATAATTTCATTATAGTAATTCACAAATTAGAATTTGTAATTATCCTCCTACAAATTTGTCCAATTGATTCAAAATTGCATCAATTAAATTTTAATTTGTGAATCCATTGGATAAAAAATAATGGTAAAATATTTAAACATAAAGAGGATAAAAATTTTAAATATAAAATATATTATTTCAAGTGATGAAATATGTGACCGTGGCCTTTTGCTTTATGCAAGAGAAATAGATGGAAGTAGTAATTATTTTTTAAAATATTTTTTATCTGAAAATGCATTAAAATAATAATTTATTATTATTATTTAAAATATATACATACTAAAATAATTCAAAAATACTAAAAAAAATAATTTAAAATAAAAAAAATAATTTTTTTTAAAACTCCTACTAAAACTGTTTTGTTAAACAAACCTGAGAGATTTGATTGGTGGCACAGCCCCTAAATTCCTTTAATGATAGCAATTAGATGCTTGTTTGTAACCTGGTTGATTTTTTTTTAATTAATGTAGATATTTGACCAGCTTTAAATAATTTTATAAATTTTAAAATTTTTAATTATATAAATTTTTAATTTTAAAGTTTACCTAATAATTTTTTAAAAATAAAACTTAGACACCCACCGGTTAAACTATATCTATTTAAATTGTATCATAGTTGACACTTGACAGAGGGAGTTAGAGAGAATCCTCGACCATAATTCCGACTGGACTGATGTCGTGAAATTCGAATTAGGCAGACCGATCAACCTGATAAAATAGGATGGAGGTTGACAGAAATCGAGGAATCGACGGCAAAAATATGAAATGGGTTTTCTTATATTCTTTTAGGGTTTTTATCTTTCTAGCATCCTTGAGTTCTTGCTAGCAAAATTATAAAACCCGGATAAAATGATCTGAAATCTTAAGCCTCCTAGCTCTTCGCCTAGGAAAAGTTCCCAAAAATAGAGTTGACTAAATGTTTTTAACGGGATTTAATATAATCCTTATGAAAACTCCATTTAATTTATTTTTTCAAAAAAATCTTTAAAATAATATACTTTAATTTTTTCAGCAAAACAACCCATGACATCATTGCAAAAGAACCAAAAAAGCCATACGTTAGACAATCATGGAATTCGAAGAGACCGGTCAATAAAAACAGGCATTCGTAAGCAATACATTATTCTCCCCGAGGGTATCTCAGAATATGGTACATGACAGTTTAACAGCTTGTAATAAGAAAAGTGATCAAAGAAGGCTCAAAATGAGAAGAAGCTTCAAAGGCAAACAAGGTTCTTGAAATCACTGCTGTAAGAACAATCCCAAACCATACGAGAACAGCCAAGCGCATTTAAAGACATCACCAAGAGCAGCTGACACTGCAGCAGAAGGCTTCTTTAACGCTTCCTATGTCTTTCATCCCTTTCACTGCTCCTGTGCCGCTTCCTATGTCTTTCATCCCTTTCACTGCTCCTGTGTCGCTTCTTGTGTCTTTCATCCCTGTCACTGCTCCTGTGCCGCTTCCTACCTCTTTCATCCTCATCAGAACTAGGTGAATCTGACTCTGATTCGGAACTGCTGGAATCTGAATCAGATGAACCAGAACTTTCAGATTCTTCATCTGATCCAGATTCTGATTCTGGCAATTGTTCTTGTTGTTGCATGATCATCCGTGGCATATTCTTCAAGTACTCGCGCAAATTTTCTGTTATACCACCAAGCCCAATTGATGTGAAGAAGTTGATGGCAAACCTTGTGTTCTTGGGGTTATCTTTTGGAAAAATTGAATCAAATGAGTCTCGCATGGTTGGATCTGTGAGGCGCTCATTCAGTGTTCGTATACCAAGATGCTCTGACAATTCCTGCACCAGACATGACAACAATGAAATCACTAACTTAATCAAAAGGAAAAGTTCCATACATATGCCACAATGTTCAATTAAAGAATATTTCCTTTAGTCTTTATTTATCCGTTAAATGCTTTCTGAACAAAACAAAAAAACTTGCAAGGTAGAACATTTGCATTGCCAACTGACATTTCCTCGATGGTTGGTTATATCACCAGGATCATCAGTTATTTGAAGGTAGTTCACAGAAAACAAGGTTCTTGATCAAATTTATGCAGCAGCTTGTGAGAGTAGCTAACATTTAACATTATGCAAACCAACACACCGCATTGTCCCATCTTGTAGATGGAAACCCAGAGGCATAATATTGCAAAACTTAGAACTAAGGAAACAGAAACAACTAAGAATGATATAAAAGTAGGTCTCTCTAATTACCTGGAAGAGAATCTTGATAAAAATACGGGAAGAAGAAGTTGTATCCTCCTCCGTTAATCGTATGTAGGCTAAAACATGCCAAGGCAATGCATCAGTGCCAAGTAAATGGGCAAAAAACTTGGCCACATTGCGCAGCTTATTTGTTTCAAGACGATGAATCATCGAGTACTGTTGAACAAAGGACTTCTCAAAATTTTCCTGGTGCACTTTGTTGATCATACAGAACCGCTGGCCCAAAAGACCGTAATAACGAAGATATGTCCTTTCTTGACTGCAGCATTCCAAGAGCATAATGCACAGCTCCATCTACACAAACCAAATGAAGAAAATGACTAAAGTAAAACAAAATCCAAGATAATAGAACTGACAAGTTTGTGTTTCTCCAAAAGAAACAAAAATCTAAATCATTAATTCTTGGTGTTGCTAGAATTTATATCTTTCTATAACCAATGTAAAAGCCCATGAGACAGATCTCAGCAGTGGATGATGGAATGAAAAGTGACTTGTTTCAGCCAAATTATGAATAGTCAATGACTGCTTTGTTGATTTTACACGGATTATAATTAAAAACATTGAAACTCAGAGACTTGTAGATAAATAATAAAAAATATGAAGCAAAAGCTTAAGCAGGAAATCTATCACACAAGCAGGAAAATGAAAAGAAAAAAAAACATACTTTAAGACAGAAAATCAATCAACTGGCCAGCATAATACAATGCATTAAGCTGGAAATACTCAAATAGTGCCCATGCAACCAGAAAAAAGAAAAATGTACCCTACTAATTTACCCGTAGATAATCACGAAACTCAGCTTCAGCCACATCAAATTGCAGCACCAGCTACAGTAA